AGTTGGGTAGGTCTGATCATCTGCCTAACAAGAGAGAGAAATATAAAGTTTGTGCAAGTATATCAATGATTGTTCTCTTCTATTGTCGTTACAGAGACTAAGCGTACCCTTAAGTTAGGGCGGCTTAGCCATACGTCGTTTGTGATTGTTAAGGCAGATCAGGCGTACCCTTAAGTTAGGGCGTCCTGGTCATATTGTCTTATGTACCTAAAACTGTTTAGGCTAGCTAGGTGTACCCCTAAGTTGGGGCGGCCTAACGATATGCTTTTGTCGTTGATGTTATGTAGGTTGGACGTATCCTTAAGTTAGGGCGGTCTGACTTTTTGTCGTTCGTACTTGTTTTAGGCAGGTTAGGCACAGCCCTACGTTGGGGCAGTCTAATCTTATGCCCTACGTAACTTTGTTTAAAGCTGACTAGGCATACCCTTAAGTTAGGGTAGTCTTGTTTTATGCTTCATGTCGTCAGTTAAGCAGAAGTCAGGCGTACCCTTAAGTTAGGGCGGTCTGGTCATATGTTTTATGACTAGAGTCGATACTGTGTTGGACATACCCTTAAGTTAGGGCAATCCAGTTGTGCGTACTTTTACTTGTTTATTTAGGCATGTTGTATATACCCTTAAGTTTGGGCATTGTCCGATCGTATGCCATTTGCAAGGGGGATATACAAAGGGAGAAGAACTGAGTGATCTAATGAACTACTTGGGTCAACCTGATGTGAGATTGTGAGAGATGTTTGTTTATGCATGCTTGTGGGCTCTTACTCTGGGACGTTTTTTCGATAGGTTAGCTGTTTAGATGCTCGCCAAGTGTTGGAGCCATAGGTAGATGAGATGGACGATGGGATGAAGAGCTTAGGATAAAGATAGGGATGTCCTTACTTGAAGTCAGAGTTGACGATAGCTCATGATACCATCTTCTAAAAGGGGATCGTGTAAACTATCTTCAATCCTAACTATCAAGCAAGTGTCAGAAGTTAGTCCCAAGTATAGCTTTGCTTTGTCTTTCTATTTTCTGCTTCGTGTAAATCTTGACAGTCTCCTGTTCCTACGGGAAGCGCTGCCGATATTTCTACAAATCCGAAAAAGTTGGTCGTTTTTGGGCTCGTAGAAATTCTAAAAAGACATTTTTCTTACGGGAAGCGCTACCGAAATTTTATAGAATTTGAGGAGTTCGAATATTTTTAGCTAGGAGTTACTTGACAAACCCACCCTGATTAGGGGAAAAGCTCAGTGAGATTAGTAGAGGAGTCAGGTTACGACTACGGAAGCATTCTCCTTTCGGCATGAACATAGTAGTGGTTGTTTTTGGCCTGTACTGTGATGCAGGTTTCCATATTTCGATTGAAGGCTTGATTTCTTCAGCTCGATCCTCCAAAAAAATCACTTTTCTGTTATCATTGATAACAGGTCGGTTGCCGATTCGTCGGTTTACGACTCAACTTTCCTGTTCCTTCTACCTCTCAACCTAAGGCATTGACCCTTGCTGGGTTTTGGGTTTCACCTAGGTTCTTTATAAATGACAATTTCTTAAAGACTGGGTTATTTTGTTGAGGAATGGTGGGGAAAAGGTTGGGCTTGTGCGCATGAGGCAGGTTGTGAGCCGCAAAAGGCTGAAAAGTTGACCCCTTTAGTGTGTGTGATGTCGTTTGATTCTTCTGTGTGATCGCAGGTATGTGTGGAGAAAAATGTCGATTGAGTTTTGATGGATTATTGATTTTGGTTCCAGATGGGCCAACCACACAACTGTCGTGAGAGTGAACTACCACGCAACTCTTTGTTTTGATTGTGATTGTTTTTTTTCTCGTCTTGGTATTGTGACAAGTAAAGTAGGCATATGCTCGGATAACCCTCATGGGGCTATGCGACCGCACGTTTACGCTTTCTTTAAATTGTTGGTCTAACTGGTCAGACGTTAGTCTTGAGCCTGAAAATTCGAAGCCCTTGTCCAAGACATTATATGTCCCTCTTCTTTCTTTAGGGCGGTGTGTCCTACCAAACGGGCACTCGCACCCTTTTGGGGCGGATTGGGTCTTTAAGCCACGTCTGCCAACGTTAATGTTTCTTTTCTTTTCCTTGTTTTAATTTATTTTGGTGGAACGATAAAGTTCTGGGCAGAAGGTTTAGTGTGTCGCTGGTGATGCGTCAGACAACTCACCACCGCTCCGAATTCCTTCCTACCCTAGGGACCATCTTACCCCGCACCCTTTGGGACACCTCAGGGTGCAGAAGATGGTAAGGCCCTCAGGCCGGTTTTGCGCTCCCTAAAGGATTGCCCCCTTTAGCACGCACTTCAGCCGACGCCTGAGCGTCGAGAGCGACCTCATGGCTCAGATGAGACCACTCCGTTATGGGCACCACATAATGCGTCGTCATCACGAATGCTTACGTAGGACTGCATTGTTGGCCGGTATGTGTACGTCCTGCGTCCGCATGGTTTTATACTAAGCCTCGCGCGCAGCACTTATCGATTCCTACATTGAAAAGTTATGGGTCAAGCGAAAAGGACAAAAACATGTTGTGGTAAGTAGACCTGAATTTCGGTAGTGCGAAGCGACGTGCGGACGGAGTACTAGTCCTAGTCGTCCAATGAAAATCCGCATACGAGTTTCCAACGTTTCGAACGTCGGTTTGCACATGGGTCTGATTTGGGCATTAACCGCGCGCACCTTTCGTACTAACCTGCCCCTTCCATTCGATAGGCCTATCAGGCTTTACAAGTAGGAATATGAGCTAGGCAGAGAGGAAAAACGGGGGTGAGCCGCTTTCTCTATCTGTGTTCGCATCCTTTTGAGTTTTCATAGTTGGACGTTGTAGTCTGTGGCAGCCGTCAAAGTCAAACCCCTTGATCTTTGGCCGCCACGACACCCCTGAAGCTGTCTACTCAACCCCTCTCCACAGGGTGCAAAAGAGGGTGTGGTCTTCAACCGCACTTGGCGGTTGTCTAGCATCGAGAGATTAACCCCTCAAAGCACTTATCAGCCGACACTTGAGTGTCGAACATGGTCCTCGAGACTATCGAGGATCGCCCGACTATGGGTACCACTTAGTCTCCATCATTGCGATTGCTTGCGCATGCTCGCATGTCTAGTTGATATGAGAAGGTCTTACGTCCGCGCAATTTTATACTAAAGTCTTACGCGCGATGCCTATCTGACTCTCGCTTCCGAAAGTTACGAGTCGGATACTGAAGGGACTAGGAGTATTGTTGTATTGTTGTATTGTTATTGTTGTATTGTTTTGTTTTTATGTGTGTGAGTGTTGCGGTGTAACGCGTGGTGTGTGTGATGCGTCCTAGTCGACGGGCGCCGAGTTGCGCTTGGGACCTCAGCCCCCCAATGCGTCCGTTCGCGTGCGGGTTCGGTTTTGGGCGTTTGACCGCCCGTGCCCCCTATGCTACAGCGAATGAGAAACGCCCTCGGCTGGGCCACCTCCGCGATTGCATACGAAAAACCTTCGCATGTGGTTCAGTAGCTCGGCGGGGATGCGCCCACCTGAAGGATGGTGACAACTCCCGCAGGTGGAGGTAAGCGGTGCCTCGCGTGACCCTGTCCGGTCGTAGGGGCTCGCGAGAGGTACGACTGGCGCACTCGGCCGGAGCGGCAATCGCTCTCCGCGACAAGTCCTGCAAATTCCTGCGTGACGTGGCCGGGAGGGTCCCCGTGCGGGACCGATGCGCACGACAGCGATGAAGCTGCTCGGCCTTGTGATGAACAGTTGGCCGACGTAGGGAGTAGATGTGGTTGTCGTTCATCCCATTGCCACCATCGTGCATGCACACGTGCATCCGCTTCCCAGGCGCTGTCGTGTACGGTTCCGCACCCCATGCACGTCGTCAGGGCCCTCCATCTCCGTCTCACGGTGTGGACATCGGCATGCCGACGTGCACAAGCCATTGTGTCACACCACACGCATGCCGAGAGACGCTCCAATCGGCGGTCCGTGGTCTACCGTGGTGGATGTGAGGAGACGACGCCTACACACACGTACACGCTTCGCAACTCCACGTCTTTGATGCGCACCCCTGCCCCTGTCCCGGCCAACTTCAATGGTTTTGTCTGTGTCGTCCGCCCTGCTTTCATCCGTGGAGGAGGTAACAGTTTCACACCCCATGCTGCCGACATCACGTGTCCTGTACCGTGTTGCGCTGGACGCGCGACAATCCGTGACGACCACACACAAGACCGGCAGCGACTGCATACCCCTGTCAAGGAGGGGGGATCTTCCATCGCTGTTGCTCCGATGCCAGCCGTTGTGTTGCAGTACCCCTTCGTCATCCCACCCCCCAATTGGGGAGCGTCCGGTGAGGCGGCGAAGTGACCGCCCGACTGTTGTGATAGTTGTCGGGGACGAGGTGAAGCGGGCATTGTGGTTTTCGGTGGTCGTTGTGTTGGGGGTGGCCATTGCTCTAGCAGTCTTCACTGCTTTGTTGGTTGCTTTTGCCATGTGTGTGCGTGTGTTCGTTGCCATTGTTGTAGCATCCCGGCGTCGTTAACTTCCGATCACAAAGTCAAGATCGTGCTTGTTGTGTGGTGTGGAGGCAGTGATGGCTGCCCGAGGATTCACCACCGAATTGTATGGTGACATTGGCAGGTCGTCAGGCTATTACGAGCGGGGGGCGAGGTGGCCGACTGCACACAGCCACGCTCCGACGGAGGACACCCACCGCCATCGTGGTCGTACTCAGCGCAGACGGGATGCAATATCATGCCTGGTGAAATGCAGGTGACCCATCTCTCTCACAATGTGCCCATCTTCACGCACGCATCTGCGACGAGCGCCTTTGGCCGACCTGCAATGCCTCCAATCGCAGCGACGAGCTCAAGGCAGCGGCCATACAACATATCGGCCGGTGGGCAAGGGGGGTCAAGTGCCACGGGTGCAAGCATTCAGGGTTCTTCGGAGTACACGCGTGTGGCTCCCGGGTGCAACCAGCACTCTCTGGCTATGCCCGCGTTCTCGTCGATTTCCGCTCGCTTCGGCTCGACAAGAGACAATGTGGTTGAGGGGGTCCCATCTCCCAATCTTGATCTGCAATCACCGCAACGACTCTACCTCAAGGCGGCCACCAACCCTGCCTGCGGCCTGCATGGGTCACTGGGCAGCCGGCATTCCACCCTCAAGGGTCGCTGCAGAGAGCTGGAGGTGACGGGCACTTGTCCGGGGGGGAATCCAGGAACACGCATGTCACAACACCCCCGCCGATGAGGGGGAGTCGTGCTTCCGGGGTAGAGCGAACTGGCACAGCAGGGGAGGGATACATGCATGATACGGGCGGTCATTGGGAGTTCGGAGGAGATGGGTCAGAGGATGGGGGTGGCGGTGGTAAAGATACTGCATCAGGCGCTACAGGATTGGCAGCCGGCACAACGGGAACGCCTTCTCAAGAACAAGCACCGACGAGTGTCATGCCTCCTTCCACCGGACAATGCCAGAAGGCGCCGACGCCATCGGCCCCGCTGAAGAAGAACGGTCCTTGGACATTGGAGGAGCGAGTGAAGTTGGCGACGGTGGCGGTCGAGGATAATGCGTTGATGGCTGACGCGGAAGGTCCTCAAAGACACATGACGAGATGTAGAAGATGGCAGTGGACCACGGACCGGATGAGGGAGGAGGGGTACTCCAGGACAGGGGAGGATTGCAGAAAGAAGTGGGCCGAGCTTGTGAAGAAGGTGAGGGAGATCCGCGATGCTTATGAGGGGTCAGGGCAACAGTCATATTTCGATTTAACGACGGACGAGCGGAGGAAGAAAGGAGTGTCGCTGACGTTCGAGAACCAGTTTTGGGATGCCATGGAATGGTATAGGTTAAAGGCATCGGTGAGATGCGACAACACCATGGCATCTGAGGATTTGAGAGGGGTAGGGTCAATGTCGGGTAGTGAAGGGGGATCGGAAGGCGGGGGGACAGATGCTTCTGATGGCAGTGCGAAGACTCGTAGGACGTCGTTGGGGAAGGCATGTGGAGGGGAATCGGCGGCGAATATGCACGGGGTGGCATCGGCTATAGAGGACTCAACGAGGGCTGTCTGCGAAGGTTTGGACCGTGCTGTCGGCACGCTCGCGCGTGCAACTACTGAAGGTGCCAGCATGATGGCCGCATGCATGGGCGACATGGTGACGGGAATAGGGGCGGTTGTGGGGGCGATGCAGCAAGGGAACGTCGTTCTGGAGATGCTGGTTGGAGTGATGGCGGGGAGAGGGTCTCAACGTGGGAGGGGGGTGGATGAGGGGGCTGAAACGGACCCCTCCTTGAGGTAGGGAGCCGATTTTTTGGAACGGATCGTGGAAGGGGTTGAACCGTAGTGGAGGAGATCGCTTTTAGCACAATGACAAGAAAACAGGGAAAAAAAAATGAATGTACGTTTCGACCACCACGCAATTATATAGAAAAATGGGAAAAAAAAAAAAAAAAAAAAAAAACTTACAGCCCTTATGGGTGTAGAACAGGCGTTCGCTTCCTATAAATACCTGCATTGTGGTCATGTATTGCAGGCGTTGTGGATGTCAATTCGTCTGCCCGTGGGAGGTAATAGCGCGGTGTTCGGAGGACTGCCAAGGAGAGAGGAAGAGAGATAGAAAGAGAGAGAGAGAGAGAGAGAGAGAGAGAGAGAGAGAGAGAGAGAGAGAGAGAGAGAGAGAGAGAGAGAGAGAGAGAGAGAGA